AGTAACCTTTTCAAAATGAAAAACCTAACACTATAAAATCATAAAATATTTGTGTTAATTACAATTAAAAATCTTGTAGCGGTCATTTATTTTTACTTTAAAAAATGACGTAAGTATAATTGTAAAATAATAGGTATTAGTCAAACTTAATGAACACAAAAAAAAAACAACCGTACACTTAGTCGATGGTAAAAAAATTAATGGAAGATTCGCGTAATCAGCGTTATAAAAATTGAATCAAACGGCAAATGACGAGGAGGAAAGAAGGACGGACGCCAAAACGGAGACAAGAAAACAGCCTCGCTCGAGCAGATCGCATGCATTATTATTATTATTGTTATTATTATTATTATTATTATTATTATTATTATTGTTATTATATACTTATACCTATCGACACAGTAAGAGAAGAAGAAGAAGTAGAGGAGGAGACAGAGAGGAAAAAATAAATACATGCGATCAGACGATCACGAGCACTTTAATGGGCATCGCTATACATATTCTCGATCGCGCGCGCGCATACAATTATACACCTCACACAGACATATTACATACAAAACACGCAGGTTTATCTCTCTGTCTCTCTTTTACGATATATATATATATATATACCAAGCATAACTCNGAAAAGTGAGGTACATAAAAATTTCATTTCATCCCGGAATCTTTAAATCTTTACATCGTAATATATATATATATATGAGCCAGATGTTTTAGTCGAGGTTTTAGTGCTGCAGCGTGCGATCGAGCCCCTTCCTTTCCTCTTCCCACCCCCCGGCCCGGCAACCGGGGCTCTTCATCACCTCGCAATCCTTTACCACACGCTGTCACTTTCGTGTTTGCGGCAAACTCAAGGAGTCACTATTGCATGGTATGAGTGGATACACACCTACGTGTACGTGTGTGTATATATATATATATATATATGCATGCAGATGGCGCAGGAGTGGGAGACCACAGAAGCGAAGGAGGGGAAAGAATAGCTATATAGATGCAAGAAAAAGGAAGCGGAGGAGGAGAAAAGCGCACTGATTAAATTCACGTATTTTCTCTCTCATTCTCAGCGTGTGTATAACTATATAATACACCTCGAGATGTAGCGGGGAAACAAAAGAGCGCCCACATAATATACAAGTATTCTATTCTTTTTCTCTACCTTTCTGTTTTTGTTTTTTTTCTTTTCTTTTTTTTTATCGATGTATTTTAGATTTTTCGAATGCTTTTTCCTTTGTTCTTCTCGGAAACAAAAACAAAACTTATAGTTTTCGGTTGTTAAGAATGTTTTATTTGCTTACAAATCGAGCGAGCGATCAAATTTTTATCGATGACCGTGTTTTCGGCGAACGACAAGATGTTTGAGTAACGTAAACATAGTTTGAAAATCAAACTCGAAATCAAATAGGTAAGTATAGTTATAGGAGTATATGTACGAGGTGACGGGTCGACTTTTTTTTACCTTTTTCTTAAATACTTAAAGTTTTTTCGACACGATGCCAGTGAGAGAAATATTTTTTTTCAAGTACGTGAAAAAATTTTTTACGCAAGATTTTAAAAAATAGAACGGTTAACCTTGATTCGACGGTCACGAACACTTATTTGCAAACACGACTGATTATTATCTGATAATTGAATGAACTGTCGTGTTTGTAAAAAATGTTTTTCAAGAATCGTTGAGAAAGGATGACTGCACATGTTTAAATTTAATGTAAAAAAACGTTCGTTACTCAGTGCAGTACGTGAGTTAAAAGCATTAAAATTTATTAACTCGAAAACAAAAGGTCAGGACGCTTGTGTATGATTTTATATATGTGTACGCTCGTAGGAACGTTAAAACAGCCGTTTGTTTATTTTTACGTCATACTTCATAGAATCGTCCGTACCTATGCCTTTTTTTTGTTCTTGATAATTCAGAATAAATCTGACACAGGTACGAATAAGGTTAATATTAAAGTTGGCAGTTTCCTCTTAACGAATATTATTTGACGAATAAAATAATTAATTGTACCCAATTTTGGGTAACAGTTTCTAAAAAAAAATTGATTTATTTAAAATTTTTTTTTTTTCATTTTCGAGTGAACAAACGACTTGAATCAAATGTATCGCCACTCTTATTTTAACGAACGATGACTAAATGCCACAATTAGAGAATTCCAGGCGCTATCGCGAAAGAGAAATACCTCATTATTCAAACTTGATTTTATTCCAAGCGAATAAACAATTATTTCACATTGTTACGAAAAGAAAAAAAAAAAAGCCTTACCCGAGCGCTTGAGTATAAAACACAAAATAACGTTTGTGTAAAAATATTACAGCAATAAAGAAAAACGCGAGCCGTATGTAGGTACGTATCCTTTTGAATTTAATTCTAGGTATAGGTGGTATTATATACATGTACACACACGCAAACACATATACTTTACAAAAGAGACGAAGTGTATTGAAGAAGAGAGGGAGGAGGGAGGGAGAAAGAGAGAGTCGACGTTCCACGTTTGCGCGACAAGGACGGTGTACACGGAAAGTTGAATATGTGTGTTGCCCCCTCCCCTTCCCGCGCACAAATGTATACACACTTTATAAGATAGGATAGGATATACCGGGAAAGACTTGATTTAATCATGAAAGTATATTATTTTCTTTCGGCGCTTTTTTTTCTCCTTCTCGTGATTTAGGTACCGCTTGTCATTTGTTTCCAAAACTACATCAGAACGTGCTTTCTCTAACTTTCGAATGATTTATTTGAATGACATGGAAATAAACAATACTAATCAAACACTTTTTTCTTCTGTTATTTCAGGAAATGAAAAAAAAATAGATAACTAGTTTCGCGGAGAATCACGCGCCGTTTGTGCAAAAATTCGAACACTATTTTAGCGGCGCATAAAATGAGCGTCACCCACGCCGCTATATTATATTATAAGGGAAAGAGTTTAGTGAGTGAGTCTTCAAAAATTCAAAGGCGAGCATCGGAGAAGCTTCTAAGAAAAATCCTAAAATTAAACTATTTGCGAGTGCAAATAAAGAATGAGTCAAACAAAACACATCATTTATATACGCGATAACCGAGGCGATAACCTTGTCGCGAAGCCAAAACTTTATATATGTACAATACATGAAAAAAAGGCAATAGCAATGAAAAATCGATTACTTGATTTTTTTAAATAATTACGTTTTTTCGTAAAAATTAAACAAACAACTTTGAGTACGAAAGACAAAAAAAAATTCTAGCGCGCGAGAACGAGACAAAAAAAATCTTGTTTTGTCATTAAGAGAAATAAAGAGAAATAAAGCGCGAGCAAGCGAGGGACTTTAAAGGTCGATAAACCGTTTTTATTTTGCACGAGAGCTTTCTGTATACATGTGTATACAGAATATATATACATAAATGGGAGAGAGGCACGTTCAGGAGCTCAAGAGAGACGAGGACAGAGTAACTGCTGCCCCGTCGTGCCGATCGAATCGTTTTTCAAGTGTAATACGTACGTTGGAAACTTTGTGCATGTGTGTGTTTTGGATTTTATTAGTATTGGGCGTGCTCTGGCTTTTAATACCATTTGGTTTTAATTTGACCGCTGAGTGTCGCTAATTTTTTCATTATGCCTCTATGATTATATTTTTATGTGGTAATTGGATTTAAATTTGAATTTGTGGGTATGTACGTTAGTACACTTTAATTTTACGATATGAGAGCAAGGTCGAAAAAGTATCCAAAACAAACAACGAAACGAGGAATTTGGATGACAATAAGCTATTTTTGTTTTCATGAAAGGAATACGAAAAAGGAGATGGATACCTCGATATTTTTAAAAGCCGTTGTACACAATAAATTAAACAATAATGTTCTTGAAAATTCCAAGAACAAATATTTTCAAATGGTACAAAATAAATAAATTGTTAATGGCATTAGTAATTAAAAAAAAAGGAATGTACACATAAAGCTTGACGTAAATAGAAAGTAAAGAGACCCAGGGGCTCATTTCGAATTCCATGAAGTATTTTAATATTCGCGAAATGGCGAACGAGCGAGTTCACATAACACCATGTTTTTCATCACGTATTTCCGTCAGACCGACCGCAATTTCACGAAAACTGTATAGTAATTGAGTAAAAAATCTCGGACAAAATAAAATAAGATAAGAATTTTGAAAATATTTAAATAAATACGCTAGCCGAAATTCTCTTTTAAAAAGCTCTTTCCTTTTCACGTTTATATTCAGGCCCATCTTGTTTCGATAAATCGATAAACAATTTTCATTTTTACCACTCTCGAATCGCTCGCTATAACTCTTTGAAACCCCAATATTCGCTTTATATTATACTTCCCACGTCCCCGCCCTCCATTTAAATTCCCTGAACGTAGACACCCCCCTTCCCCACCCGACAACGCTCCTTTTTCAAAATTTCAAATGTGAAATTCGATTCGAAATCGTATTTGTCACGTTACTAATTTATCGAAAAAAATTGTATTTCTCATCCTCGTCGATGAACCCATTGATCTTTGAGAATCGAAAATAAAAACTCCATCATCCGTAAGTATCGAAAGAACGAAGAAGAAGCTGAGAAAAGCATTGAAAAACTAGAGTAAATCTTACGAGATAAAAAAAGAGAATAAGTAATCCGCGGCGGCAGAGGAGAAGGGGGGCTCTCGGTGAAGAGAAAGAGAGAGCGATCGAGGAGGCGGTGGAGGGGGTGAGGGGAACGAACGCAGCTATACAATACATATATATACGTGTAGCATGGTTCGACTTTGGTTCGACGTTGGGGAATCGGAGTAATGGAGGGGGGAGCGCCTCGCGCATACATACATGCAACGCATACATGTAGTCCACAGAAAAAACGCCAGAGTAGGAGATGTATAGGTATACACGTACGTGTTGTCACCGGTGTCGAAGGGCAAGAGGGGAGAAAACGGAGAAAATAGTCGGCGTTCCCAAGTACTTATTGTATACACAGAAGGGCAATCAAATTTTTTAAAAGACCCATGACAAAATATAAATTCTCACCTCGATCTTATCCGTCATTATTTTCGAGCGGCCAACTGTAGCACTTTTGCGACGACGATCTTTCCATTCAACGAAAAAACGGCACTTACAAACAATCACCATACAAAGAACACGCGCTACTTATTGGCACTTTCGATCCTTTATTCTAAAAACTCTATTAAGTAGTTTGAACGATAAAACGACGCAACTCTTTTCTTTCTTTTTATCAATATCGGTTCTCCTTAAAAAAGTGGCAAGCGCACTAGTATCCTGACCACGCTGCGTTTCCCCCTCTTGCTTGAAATGCTTTGGCGTGCAGCTCCATTTTTTCTCTCTCTCGCTCGCCTGCTCTTCTCCGAATTCGAAATTCGCGCCCTTTACTTTCTTCTCTGCGTTTAGCGAATTATCGAGGTATTTGCACTCGCGCACTTTAATTTTCGACGAACACCAATACTTTGAATTATCTTTTTAATTCATCAACCTGCAAGTATAGTGATATAAATTTAATTCACGCAACTTTCCACTTCAATACGTGGTGACCTACACTTGTCAACGCACAATTGAGGGTTACTCACTTGATTCACTGTCGAGGCAAAACAAAAAAAAAAAGACGGGCAGAGTTGCGATTGGGGAAATAATTATTTATTTCATTCGACGATATCCATCGATGATTTGTCTTCTATTCATATACGCACTGGCAGTGTCACGTTGACTTGTGAGAAATATATTTAATATAAAAACAAATTGTGATATAAGTACAGTGTCACTTATGCAAATACGTAACGACACAACAGCGAGCGACGATTGTATTTTTATTATAAAAAAGGCAATTATATTTTTTCACTCGAACACAATGACAAAAAATGAAAAAATCGTTAACCGGTTGTTGTACGATTCTTATTATGTTTTTTTTAGCGCAAAAAAATTAACTCACAATATTTATTATATCAAATGCCATACACAAACACACACTACACAGCACTTATCTACATGTATGTTTGTATGTCAATCTAGCGGCAGTCAAGCAGCATCAGGCTCCAAGCGGTGCGACGCACGCCGCTGTCCCATCAAGACTACTTTGTATTTACTCTAATTACGTGACGTCACCCCCTCCCCTGGTACTACCGCCGACGAGAGGAGAGTATAGTACACGGGAGGGGATGCTCTCCAGTGCTGTGAGAGCCGCCGCACTTTAGGACCGGTAACACCCGACAAAAGCCGAGCGTTTTCTCTCTCGCTCGTGCCTCTATCATGAAGTATACCTATACATGGTATCGGTAGTTTCTCGGGTTAGGTTAGTTAGCACCTTGTTTTTTGTGCACTTGCACGTATATGTTTATATGTAGGTACATATAGCACATATGGCGGGGGTGAGTGAACGTCATCTTGCGCGCGCGCGGATTATCATATTCTTTGTCTCCCTTTGATTTTGATATACTTACTTTTAATGTGTACAAAACACAATAGTTAACATGTACTGGTGTGTTTTGTGTTAAATCTCTGTTCTATGCATTAAAATAAGTATACACTTGTTTTAGTTTCTCTGAATTATCGGAGCAACGATTTTAATGACTGATAACAGCTATACCGTCGCACTGGTGTAATATCCTAATATAAGTGATTCACAGCACGCGATTGGGTTTGTAAAATGTACTACTTTTAGTTATTGAATGGTTGTGCAAGGCTCGATTATTGTTACAAATCAATTGTTATATTTCACTCAATTGAAATTAGAACGAAATTTTTTTTTTCCCCATAAGAATCGAAAAGTGTTAATCATGGGTACCATACGCATCATACGTATTATGCTTTTTAAAGACCAAAGTATTATGGTTATAGACTATATGATTATGGTATGTTTTAAAATATAAAATGTTATAACTCATCGTCTACATGAATACTATAATTACACAATTATGTTTGACCTCGCAATTTGATGTAAACAAAGGAGCGAACGGATGTCGTAAAAAATTATGTAATATTTCTTGTTTCATACATCATTACAGTTATAATGTAATATAATTATGAATAACAAACAAAACAAATCGCACGATTTCTTACACCTTTTACCATTCCAACTCATCCCAAAGACATCAGAATTGAACTACATTAGATAACTTAATTATACTTTTATACTTAAATAGTAAACAATGCGTTGGCGGCTGGTGTCATGAAAATAGCGGTTACATATTTAAAGTCTCGAAATTTATCGACATCGAGTACATCGACCGATCGACGTGAAGAAGGGTATATATATAATCATATAAGCACTACAGCAGACGACGAGTACAAAACGGAGCAAACAATATGCAAGCAAAGAGCACTAGCGCAAGAGATCCATTAACACGTGAGGTTTGAAATAATATTCAACCGTACAAGTTCCAGTGAGTAATAGATGCTTTTTCATTTAAATTATAAATTTTTCATAAATCTACTAGATATAACAAATGCGTAATTTTATGGAATGATAACGTCAATACGCACTCCAAATGCAATAATTTTCGTTTGAGGTTATGTTACATATGCGCTCTTATTTTAGATGGTTTTTACTTTACTATTCAGTTGAAAATATTTTCTCTGATACTACCAAAAAATGTTAAATAACGGTTTCTTATTATATACACTATAATGAATTGTAGGTCCAAGAGGTTCAACAAATCAGTGGTAATGAAATCGTTGAGGCATTAAATGGTGATATGTTGATTCAGAAATTCAATGAAAAGATGTACTTGCCAACAAACCAATGAAAAATGCCATCATTTTGCCAACCTGTTTTGACTATGTCCAAAGATAGGTTACTAAAGGTGCTAGACAGATTAACAGTCTTTACAAAGTTCACCAATAGTGACATGTTCCTTGATGGTAAAAACTTTTCACTTGTCAACACCTTCACAGTAAATCCAATAATAATGTAAGTAATAATAAAGCTACCTGATACTCACAATCATGTTGAATAAGCAATAATAGATAAAAATTCTCAACTGTAGTATTTGTATCAAACCTCACTAAAAAATCTGTAAACAATGTATTCACTATGATGTATGTCTAATCTTCTCTCTGAAATAAAGAGGTTGACAATTATCCTGTCTGAGCAATAAGCACCATCTTTCTAAGGTTAATCCTAATTCATCTTAAACTTTATTAAACAACAATTTTATTACAGATTTGGTACCTTTCGTGTTATCTTCACGAATTTGATCGCACCAGGGTGAGCATTTGTAGATTACAATCGCTATCGTACTTTTTACATCGCGTGGTGTACACCAGGTTATATTCAGATCAAAGGTACGTTTGGAATTGATGCCAATTGCATTTTAGACATGCCTACCAGAAACAAGGGTATTAAAAAGAAATGACTAGGTAAGAAGTCTGTTACTTTAGTAAAAAGTAAAATTTATATTGAAAAATTTAGTTGAAATTATTAAATTTAAAAAAAAAGAACACAGTCAACTTTATACTTTTAAGTAATGTTTTTTCAACTATTGTTTAAGCGCACATTATTACTATTCATTTGTATTTTCAGCGCAATAAACCACAAAAACGTGTTGTCAAGATAATAAAAGCTATGATCCAAAAAAGATGATAAAGACCTCAAAAGAATAGAGGAACAGACGGATGAAATCCAACAAGCTAGCTGAAACTCTTTAAAATATCCTACAAGGAGGTATACATATATGATTATTTTGACTTTCACCATCTTCCATGGTTACATTTAAATACAATGATGTTTATATTTTTCGTCTCTCAAAGTTACATACGATTATGTAACGTGTGTGGACACATCTAACTGAGTATTATTTCTTCTATATTGATAATTTTGACTTGTAAAAACTGTTTTTAATTAAACACAATGAAATAAAACAACGTTTCAACATAATTTTTTTTATAGATAGCAGCTAAACGTAAGGGAAACCATCAGTGGCAACAATTGGAGGAACAACAAACGAGTAAGGAGATAGATGAGAAGAGCCATCACGTTACTATAGCTTATTATTTTATTTAAAACTGTTACTATGTCAATAAAATCGTACTTTTTTCCAACAATCAGAATTCAGCTTTTCTTGACATATTTTTTTATGTGATCTATCCTCTACAAAGAACTAGTACAACATCGACAACGTGATAGAAACATTGCTGTTGAATCTAACAAGACGTAATTAATTCACGAGTCAATCGTAAAGTTTTTTTTTGGAAATATGCATTAAGTATGGATGTCTATGTCAGATCAGACGTTGAGTAATTACAATTTTTACAGTAATTTTGATTATTAAAAAATAAATCGTCATCACATATGTACGTAATTTTGTTAAAAAAGGATCTATTCAATTAGGAAATTATTCATATTAGGAAAGTCATGATTAGCTATTTGTTTTATTATGTAAGCCTAGATCGCGTAATACGTAGAGTGAGAGAATGTAAAAAACGTCAGCTATGTTTTTTAATGTGCGATTATAAGTACTATTTTTTGAATCGAAAAAATCTATTTTTATACCTAAATAGTCGAAAAGGAGAGCAGTTTTTTGGCTGAAACTCTAAGAACGAACATTTTTAAACTATTAACTTACAATAAAGGCTACAGATCTCAAAAAAAAGAGAGACTTTTTTAAAACTTACATGTTTTTCAAAAATCCATTCCTGTACCTTAAAAATAAGAAAAATAAAAAACTTTGAAACATCGAAAACAAAGGTAGGTATAATTAAAACGAAACAACCTAAGAATGTATAAATTAAACTTTAAAATAATAGTTTGATTGAGCTCTTACATCTACATTAGTTTTAATACAATCAAAACGTACTACAAAATAAGGTTTTTGATAATTAAATAATAGTTCATCGGTTGATAGAATTTTATTATATTCTCTCCTGAATATCCTTTTTAGTTCAATACAATTATTCGACACATGACTTTGAAATTATCATACTTCTTCACACTCATTATTAAGTCACAAGATGACACCACCATTACAATAAATTCATACGTTGAAAATTTTTTCTTGTCAATTCTTTGTCATTCCCATTTTTAAAACAAAATTTAAATATAATTAGGTATAACTAGTATTCTCGTCAACGAGTGTCAAGTTTTATTTTATTTTTGCACTTACAAACTCTTAATACCGTGGCACGGTTATTTAATTATATTTTTTGTTTGTTTCGACTTTAGTATCTTAACCCTTTCCATTCTACGACCAATTTTGACCATTTTTCACTTACATCATTGTACACGTTTCTCTGGTTCGGAGAGCTATTTTTTTTAGTTTTATTTTTTAATATATATCAGCAAAAGTGCGAGAGATATATTTGAGGGGAAAGACGCTTGTAGTCATGTAATTTATACCACAAAAATGCTTACATAGTCTTTGGCAAAAAATGCATGCGGAGATACGTCCGAAAATTTATTTATTCATTTTTATTTGTTATTAGGCCTACTTGCACGGACTTGAAAAGCAGCTTGCTATGTGTCAGATAACCAGCTAACAGGCTAGGATTTTACTGAAAGTTTTTTTTTTGTTTGCATGAAAAATTTCGTTGTGGCATTTTTTTGTTAATTTTTTTCTGTAATTGTACCTATCTTTAAAACGAAAATTAAATTTGCAACTAAAATGATTTTCTATTTGAAATATACAATTTTTGTGTGTTAAAAAAAATTTGGTTTAAATAAAATGGTACACAATCAAAGTATAGAGTAAAAAAAAAAATTACACTTCTCCTTAAACCTAATATAAACACATTTAAATAATATATGTCTCATTGTTTTTTTTTTTAATTCTATTAGTTTCGGCTCAATGATCGAAATTGTTAAAAATTT